ATCTCCTGCAGGTTAATCAGATAAATATTTATTGAGCATGTTCTTTGGACTTTGTACAACATAATATTTTTTATTTGAGCACTTGTATTTCCTATACTGCAATATCTCAACCATTTGATAAGTTACCAATGATAGTAACATGACCATAATGAAATGATCTTGTTTTAATAGGTCAAGAAAAATCAAAAGGTGACTATAGTTTTTTTGTTTTGTTTCATTGTTTGGGATTTTTTTTTTGAGTGACTATAGGTTATGAACAGTTGGTTTGACAATCATTAACTAGTAGGCCAAACATATATTCAGGCCACTCCTTGTTAAATGTAATAAATGTTATTATTTATGTATGATAGAATATTCCTCTTTCTGTTTTACTTTGTTGTAAGGATGCAGCTGCAGGGATTGCATGAATTTTATCCAAAATTATATCAGATTGTTGACATAGAAGTTGTAAAGAAGGTGGCAGAGACAATGTCTCCCTGGGCCTGAAAGCTACATCTAGTCTTTAAGGATGAAAGCTTTGTTGCAATATGGTCTTCAGGAATAGCCTCCAGGGCAAGAAGTACCCAAGATTAATCCTTTTCTTCTTGTTTACTGGTGTCTCCTATCTGAGAGCAGCACGATACAGTGTGGGTTTGGTCATGTCAGTTTTGATGATATCTGAAACAATAAGCATAACCTTGAACCCTGGAGCAAAGAGATTTTCCTTCTCAGCACTAGATTTTTATTACAGTGTAGTACAGCAAACTCAGAAATATGGTCCACACTTCTAATTTAAGTTATTCCCTTTTAAGTTGCCTTTAACATAATTTTCCATTTGATGATATAAAAATTAATAACTTCTATCAAAAGCCACCTTGGAAGAGACAAGGCCAGCCATCTATTTGTAATAGCCTATTTGATAAAGGATTCTCACACAAAATTTCACAAAGTACCATATGATCAAGAGACAATGATGAAGAAGAAAGAAGTTCAAGCTGCACTGATGATGTTGGCAAAAAATAAGGCCTCCAGGAATCAATGGGATTCCAATGGACATGTTTCTGCTAACAGATGCAGCCCTGGACTCACTCACCAGTCTATGCCAGAAAATTTGGAGCATAGCTGACTGACTGGAAGAGAACCATATTCCCAAAAATGATGATCCAATGGAATGGGTAAATTACTGAACAATATCATATGCAAACAAAATATTGCTAAAGACCATAAAAAATATCTAGAACAGCACATCTATCTAGAGAGCTGCCAAAAGTTCAAGCTGGATTTAGAAGAGATTATGGCACCAGGGATATCATTGCTGATGCCAGATGGATCTTGACTGAGAGTAGACGACACCAGAAGAATGTCTATTTGTACTTTATTGACTATATTGACTATACAAAGGCATTTGACTGTGTCGATCATAACAAACTAACATTGAAAAGAACGGGAGTCCCAGAACGCTTAATTATGCTCATGCAAAAGCCATACCTAGACCAAGGGGCTGTTGTGCAAATAGAGCAAGGGAATACTACATGGTTTAAAATTTTTTAAAAAGTGAGTTAAACGTTGTATCCTTTCTCCATACCTATTACCTATTCAATCTTTATGCTGAGAAAATGATTCAAGAAGCTGAACTCTATGAAGAAGAATATGGCATAAGGATCAGAAGATTCATCCACCACCTTCGTTGCTGAAAGTAGAGATAATTTGAAACACTTGCTGCAGAAGATCAAGGATTACAGCCTTCAATATGGATTGCATCTCAACATTAAGAAAAAAAGACATTTTCACCACTGGACCAATAAGCAGCATCATGATAGATGGAGAAAAGATTGAAACTGTCAATGACTTCCTATTACTTGGGTCCACAGTCAACACCCTCGGTCCCAGCAGTCTCATCAGGAGATGTATTGCACTGGCACACCTGCAGTCCAGGATATCTCCAAATTATTGAGGGACAGTGTCAGTTTGAGGACTAAGATGGCTAAGAGAGGGCAGAAAGGACCATGTTGGGTGTAGGAAATAGTCTAAATGTAACCTCTGGATATTACATGGATATATGCATATGAAAAAATATTAGTCATGTATTCTTGGGATTTTTGCACTTTCAGTTAAAATGCAAAAAAAAAAAATGTAAAACTTTTTAAACAAATCAAGTGGTCCAAAGACATTAGACCAATGGAGGGTCTTCTCTTGAGAGGGTAAAACAGAATTTCATGAGCATCAGAAATACAGGGATGTCTGGCCCTGTGGTCTGGAGGGAGTCGTGCTGCCAACCCAGAGACCACTCCCCTCGAGCAGTTTAAATCCACCAACAGCTTCCACAGAGTTTCTGGGAGAATGATGAGAATCTTCACCTATGTGATTTGTAGCCTCAGAAACCCAACAGAGAGATAGATAACTCTGAGTTGGTTTGGACGAGCAATGGTTAACAATGAAAGCAAGAGAGGGAGGATACTAAATACAGTAGGATTAAGTGGAAATGGTCCTGGACTGTATCTTGTTGCATCTGCTTCTCTTTGCAGGGGCACAGTGCTTGATTTAAAAGAGAAAAAAAAATCAAACCACCAAACCTATTGTCATGTAGTTGTTTCTCACTTATAGCAACCTTACAGAACAAAGTACAATCATCCCAAAGGGTTTTCAAAATGATACATCTTTATAGGGAGTTCTGGTGGCCAAAGGTTCATGGTTTGAATCCACCAGCTACTCTGTAGGAGAAAAATGCGCAGTCAACTCCTGTGAGATTTATTGCCTCTGAAAATCTGCTGGAAGATCAGCTATGGGGCGACAGAACACAATACAACAATAAAGCTTTCTAGAAGCAGACTGCCTTAGCTTCCTTCCAGGAAGCTGCTGGTAGATAAGAACTGTTGACCTTTTTGTCATAGGTGTTTGTCAATAAATATGTGTGATAGCATGCTCAACAAATTGGGGATGCTTACTGATTGGTATGCCCATTTTTATGCCCATCATGATGTGGTTTTAAAAAATCAAATTATTTCAAACTGGCGGGGGGTGGGGATGAGAAGGGGTGAAGGTGTATCACCTTTGATCCCAGAAAAAAATGGCCCCTGTGACTCAACTTTCAGCCAAACCACAGACAGGTTTATAAGGTGAACAGTGACACCAGGAGGGTACTTACCCCTTAGACCAATCAACCATACAAGGTCAAAGGGGCAGCATTTGCCAAGGGATAAAACACAGGAAGGGGTAAGAGTATAGAAAGATTAGTGGAAATGAGAAACACAGGGAAGAAGCAGGAAGAGTGCAGTTAAAATGTGAGGATTGTGATCAATGTCATTAAACAGAATGTGTATGACAAGGATACCAATTTGCTCTATAATCTTAGAATGGCACAAATTCTGTGTAAATGTATACAGATTTTTTTTTTACCATCAACTCAGAATCAACCCATTGCTGACCCTCCAGTGGGTTTTCCACTAAGCCCTTTTATTGTTATTGGGTGCCATTGAGTTAAGTACGACCCATAGTGAACCTACAAAGAAAAGATCTAAACCTTGTTCTGCCCTGTGCTGTCTTCACACTTCCTGACACACTAGAGCCCATTGCAGCAGTCATTGTGTCACTCCACCTGGTTGGGGTCTTCTTCCCCTTCGCTGACTCTGTTTTTTTCAAGCATGATGTCCTTCTTCAAGGAATAGCCTCTTTCAGCAACATGCCTGAAGTATGTGAGATGAAGCTTTATCTCTTTTGCCTCTAAGGAGCACTCTGGCTGCACTTTCTCCAAGACATATTTGTTTGTTCTTTTTACAGTTCATGGGATGTTCAGTATTCTTCTCCAACACCACAGCTCAAAAGCATCAATTCTTCTACTGTCATGTTTATTCATTGTCTAACTTTCAAATGCACAGTAAGAGATTGAAAAGACCATGGCCTAAACCAGGTGCAGCTTAGTCTTCAAATTGACATCATTGCTCCTCAATAATTTGGAGAGGTCCCTAATTGAAGACTTTCCCAGTGCAATATCTCTCCTTATTTCCTGGCTGCTAGTACCAAGGGTGTTGATTGTCCATCCAAGTAAGATGAAGTTGTTGACAGTTTCAATCATTTCTCTGTCATGAAAATTGCTTATCAGTCCAGTGGTAAGAATTTTTTTCTTGACATTGAGATGCAATCCATATTGGAAGATATATTCTTTGATCTTCTGCAACAAGTGCTTCAAGTCCTCCTCCCTTTCAGCAAACAAGGTTGTGTCATCTGCATAATGCAGATTATTGATGAGTCTTCCTCTGATCTTGAGGCCACCCTAAGCCACTTGAGCTCCTTATATCTCTATACTTACACAAACACATTGTCCTTGAGTCCTAAATACTTGAATGTGTGTTTCCTAAAAATAAGGCTACTATTTTGCAAAGCTACAATAGAAGTATCAATTATCATTATCAATACTCAGTCACTGATCCCAAATTAAATTGAACTGCGAGACTATCCATTATTCTGGTCTGACCTGTCCCAGACAAAGTGAGTCAAAGGAGTGAAAAACCCACTATCATTTTATTTTCTTATTTGAGTGTATGAAAGTACCCAAGAAACATTCTTTTTAGATTAGCTTTGAATTTGATTTAGTATAGGTTGGTTCTGATCAGTTGCTGAGCTGTTCAGAAAGCTTCTTTGTGAAAGCATAATACTAATACCGATACTAGAAAACACTTCTCCAAAATTCCTTACTATGTTCTAAATACATACTTTGTACTTATTAATCAATTTAATCCTCACAGCCACTTAAATATGTGATTATCTTTTTTTTTGCATTTGTGGAGATGAAGGCTTGGAAGTTAAGTAAGTTGCCTGTGAACACAGAGCTGATAATGGGGATAGCATCAGGATTTGAACTCATGCTCTATGATGCCTCTCGGATTTGATAGTTTGCATGTACTTATTCTTGTATTTCACAGTATCTAAAGATGATACTAAGCTATTTCTTGTTATTGATTGCATCTCGTTTCTTGTTCCCCGAGGAGACATGCATTCATTTTCTTGATGTGTTTGTTTTTCAGCTGAGGAAAAGGTGACTGGTCTCCTGAGCCCGGAAGAATGGACTCTGAGGAGGTTGTTTACACTCGGTTCTCCCACTCACCAGCTGTTGAGAATCTGTGGATGAAAGAGCAGGATCTTATTACTTCAATGGGAGCCTGAGAGAAGGTTCTCAAACCACTAACAGCCAGGCGGGTTTGGTAGAGTGGGACTGCCTAACAAATAATTAGTCAGAAGCATTTGATAAAACTGTCTTGCACATTATTTTCAAATTTAGTGTTGCTGTCTTATCCAGTCCTGTGTGTGTGTAAATGATTGTGTCTGCTTCTCACTCTAGATCCAGTATTGGTCTGTAGGTTGGATCCAGAACAGAATTCAGTGCTTTCAGGCTGAGTCTGCCCTGTTTGACTTTGCTATTTAAAGAGCCAATGTGGGTTAATAACTACTATTTCTTGAATGCCTGCTCCATGCCAAGCTTAAGGCTGGATGCTTTACTATGCTTAATCCTCACAACGATCCTGTAAATTTGCACCTGTTATTTCTACTTTGCCAACAAGGAAATAAAGGTTCCGAGAGGTTATGTACCATGTGTAAGATCACACAGAGGAACCAGGTTTAAAGTCTCAATCTAAAGCCTCTTCATCCTAAAGCATTGCTTGCCTTGTTACTGCTCCAGAGATAATGATCTCTTCATGTCATCACTTTCATCAATTGTATTACTTCATTTCAGAAATTAGAATGGGATGGCATTGTGTGTGCATGTGGGAACAGTGTCAAAGGGGTAATCAAGGAGTATTTACAGGCAGAGAAGAATCAAAGAATTATTTTCTAAGAAAAATAACATTTAATGTTACTTTAGGTCAAAGGTTAGCAAGCTACAATTTGTGGGCCAAATCCAACTCCAAACCTATTTTTTTATAAATAAAGTTTTATTGGAACAAAAACGCCTATTCTTTTATGTATTGTCTATGTCTGTTTTCTTTCTATGGTATATTGTAACAGAGACCGTATGGCCTGGGAAACTAGAATATGGGCTTTCCAGGAAAAGTTTGCAGATCCTTGCTTTAAATAATTTATGAATTAAATAGCCAAGAATTTCCATTAATAGTGACTTCACCCCCCCCCCCCTCCATTTAAGCATGAAACTGCTTACAGATTTAGAATGTTAAGAATATCACCGTATCCTAGTGGTGAGGAGGTGTGGTGATGGAAAGGATTTCTTCTGGGCAAGGAAGAAGGCAGGGACTGAAGAAAAGGTTTGTCAGTGCTTGTCACTGAAACTTGCCCTACTCATGTCCTTCCTATTCTCTTGGCCAAATCAAGTTTCCTAAAATAGGCCCTTTGCTCATACACATGCCCATGGCTTCCTATTTACAATATGCTCAAATCCAACAACCTATCTTGGAATTCAAAGATCTTAACAATTGACTCCTAATCTTTCTCCACCTCTTTCTCCTTCTCCCCTTTTATTTACTTCTGAGAAAGTCATGGGAAGTTTGCATTTATCCCAAAGCAAATTTATTTTGTTTACTATTATGTAAACAGAGAAATAAACATGTAACTATTTTATGTTGCGCTTTCACATGACTGCCACTTAAGGTGAAGGGTACAAAAAGATAAGAATACTAGAGAAAAATCTATTAGTTGCTTTCTCTACAGTAGACATAAGTGAATTGTACTTAGAAAAAATATTCTAACTAAAGGTTTTGAGGATCTTTCCAGGGGTATATCATAAACTTTCTCTCAAGCTGTCTGATAATTTGTTATTCTATGTAAAGACTATTTTTAATTACTGCCAAATATTCCATCTTCTGTATCTTCTACAGTTTTGGGGGCACATCTTCAGTTGCTAGGTGCTGACAGTTGCCATTTTTATACATTTCAGCTCCTATTAAAAACTCTCATTTTCCTGGAATTTGCCCCTTGTTTCTCATTTTTATTCAGGTTTCCTTGGCTTCAGAAAGAGTCTTCCCTTCCAGCTCATGTCCCATCACTTTCCCTTCACAAACTCTGATTGTCATGGGACAGTTCAGATTGACCTTCAGAATGAGGGGTGGATTACAAGAGACTTATTTTCTCAGGAAGTGTTGACATAGTATCATCTTAACCTAGGATAGGGACAGCCTTCAATACCAAAGAGCTCACCATTAATTCTTGGTGCTGCACTGAGAAGAAGAGTTTATTTTTCAAAAGAAGTAATAGATGTCATGTATTATGCATGCACTGCATGTCAGGCATTGTTCTAAGCCCTTTCTATGTTAAATCATTTATTCTTATGACAAATACGTTAAATGAATATTGTTAAACACTCCCATTTCATAAATTAGAAAATTGAGGTTCCGGAAGATTAAGTAATTGCCCAAGTAAAGCTTTTTACAAAAGTAAAGCTGCTGTTTGAATTCAGACAACAGGCACCAGTCTGGATACTGAATCAATAGAATGGAAGTTCAGCAAGTCATAATCAGTCATTATTTCCCCAGCCCCATCCTGTCCCTTTACCATACATAACCAGAAAGAGGAGCTGCCGAGTAATGTTCTTATGAGGAACAATTAACATGCCTGTAGAAAGTGGGATTTTCTGATGAGTAGCTTCTGTTTCCCTGTATCTTCCAATTAGCAAGTCCAGTTCCAACTATGAAGTGTCAGAGAACAAACTGACTCCCTCTCCCACACAACAGCCCTAAAAATTGTGAATCCAGGAGGTCTTCCCTGAGTCTGCGCCTCTCAAATGTATTGAACATATTTCTCTGCTCATGCGATTTCTAGGTCCTTTAGCAGTTCAGTTCATGTCCACTGACTATTTCACACTTTTCTTTAAAACTCTCCATATGATATTGATGTTAGGTGCTGTCCCGTTGACCCCCAACTCATAATGACCCTGCATTTACCAGAATGAAACCCTGCCTGGTCCTGGGTCATGCTCACATATCTGCTGTTCTTGAGCCCAGTGTTACAGTCACTGGGTCATACATCTTATTCACGGTCTTCCTCTCCGTTACAGACACTATTCCAAGCATGATGTCCTTTTGGAAGGTCTGGCTCTTGCTAATAATATGACCAAAGATGTGGGACAAAAATCTCAACATCCTTCCTACCACTTGTCTGCCAGTCTGTCATACTGGGTGGTTTGCCTGTTGCTGTGACGCTGGAAACTATACCACCAGGAGTTCAACCACCAGCAGGGTCACCCATGATGGCTGGATTCTAGCCCAGTGACATCTGAGTGCTTATTAGAATCTAGACATTGCCCTAAACACTTTATTTTAATTATACAATCAACCCTTTTGGTGATACTATTATGGTCCCTCCTTCACAGCTGAAGAAGCTGGGACTTGACCTTCAGGGACCTTGAAAGCTCCCTCCAGATATCAGCAGTGAACAATGTGTGAAGATTTTAGGTGTCAACAAAAGGCTCCATCTGGCAGTTAGCTAGTGATTATGCTTCAGAAAAGCCAGATAAAACAGTGTAAATCGGCTTCAGGGGTGAGGGGGAACAGGACCTAAGGTTTGAGAGAGAGAGAGAGCCGTTTGTGCAGAATGTACCAGGATAGCAATAGCGACAGCTGCCATATTGGTTCTGTGTACTAAGCCCAGCCTCTTCTGTACAAAATCTCCTTTAATCCTCAGAGCAACCCTAAAAGGAAATTAGGACTACTGTTCTACGATTGCTGGGTTACAGATGAGGTAACTGAAGCTTAGTGAGGTTAAGTGGCTCACTGAAGGCTGTACAGCAGGTGGGCAACAGCGATAAGATTTAAATCAGATGACTTACTGAACTGTACATCCATGACCGTATGGTCACACCCAAACGGAAAGACTGTTGACAACAATAAAGGGAAGGAGCTCTCTATTCCCCCCAAATAGATATTTGAACTTAAGAGGCTGCCCAGGGCTTCAAACAAGGCACAGAACCACTCAGCAAAGGCGGGGTCTTGGTTTGGGGAGACAGTTTGCTAAGCTCCTTACCTCAGCAGTGCTAACCCTGAGACTAACTTGGGGCTCCTGGAAATGTCTGTCAACTAAAAACCTGTCATTAATTCTGCTATCTTGGCATAGGAAACCTGCCTGTTCTTATGCCTCTGTAGTTCTTTTTAATCAATTTCTTCCCTTTATTCAATAGGTGTCCTACTTTAGTATTCCTCAGAATCACATAGAGGACTTATTCAAACACTGATTCCTGCATCCCTCTCTCAAAGTCCTGATTCAGTAGGCTTGGGAATAAAACATTTGAGAATCTGCCCTCTGATAATTTTTTTCCAGAATGATAGAGCCTCGAGCTCACAAAAACACTAAGAAGGTCTCTTCTGATGCCTGACTCTCATCACCTGTGACATCAAGCAAATGTCCAGTGCCCACATGGGTACTTCCTCTAATGGGGAAACAAATTTCTCCAAACGTAGTCCCTTCCAGCTCTGTGCAGTTCTATGTTCTGCTGATTCCGCTAGCCCAGAGATCACATCTGAAAGCAACTCCTTTAGTTTCTACTAGTTAGTTTTGAAATGTTCCAATGCTACTTGGCTGTGAAAAAGCGCATCCAAAAAAATCAAAGGAGGTTCCTAGAGGCCATGGGTGTGGTTAAGAAACAGGGTGGGCAGATGTAGTGCTGGGTTTGGTAAGAAACTGCATCAGGAGACTGGATGGACTAAGAGAGAGAGAACCCTCAGCCAGGAGGGACTAGATGTTCCAGAATGGGAATGATGGGAAGCAGACGGTGCAGGGAGAACTGGACAAGGGAGCCAGACTAGCCAAACAGAGCAATCTGCCAAGGGCAGAAGATAAATGAGGTAAAGTTGTCTAAAGCCACAGGCTCCTGGCTGGGCTGTGGGGGAAGAACTAGGATAGCAGGGCAGCGAGGAGCCAAGAATGAGCTCTGGGGGTGTGGCCTGCTGACAGAATCTAATGATCACATTTCAGCTGCAACCAACCCTTTCCAAAAGCCTCTTTCAGCCTCCTCCTGTGGCTGTGCCCTTCAGTCAAAGTGCCCAGGAGTTGCCCTCCGAGAGAGGTGAGGTGAAGCCACTGCAGCAGAAGAAATTGAGGACAGGGCCAAATGCATTTCCTCTTATGTGGGGCCCTGAAGTGGCAGGCAGGGCTGGAGATCATGCAGTTTGTCCTCTAATATTCTCACCTCTTGAGCCGCATCACTCTGTCATGAGGGAACTGACTCAGCAGCATTGCAGAGGAAAGCTTTCTCCGGCTACTTGGCTACAGTAGGAGACCAGGGGCCAGGCATCTGGCTGCACTCCCTGCTCCTCACAGGGTAGGCATCTCTCTGCAGGATGGTAACAACTTCTTTCAAACTGCAGGAGCAATGCACACCTCCCTGGGTCCTGGACAAATACACTCACCAAGATTGAGCAAAGCTCATTTGTGTGATTTTGTGTTCTCTGTCCTATTTCTCAGTTGAGTCTGTCCACATCTCTCTTTCACACACCACACACACACGTTGTTTTTTGTTGTTCATTGCTGTTGAGTACAACTTGTAGCAATTCTGTAAATAAACAGATCTGAATCCTGTCCTATCCTGCACCATCCTCATCATCTCTGACATACTTGAGACCACTGCTGCAGTCACTGTGCCAATCCATCTCATTAAAGGTCTTCCTCTCTTTCGCTGACCCTTCACCTTTCCAAGCATGATTCCTCATTCCAAGGAATAGCCTCTCCTAACAACATACCCAAAGTATGCGAGCTGAAGTTCGGTCATCTTTGCCTCTGAGGAACACTCAGGCTGTACTTTCTCCAAGACATATCTATTTGTTCTTTTGGCAGTACATGATATTATCCTTCTCCACCACTACAGCCCAAAGGCATCAATTCTTCTATCATCCTTAGTCAAATGTCCAGTTCTCAGATGCATAGCAAATGATTGAAAAGACCATGGCCTGAATCAAGCATACCTTTAGTCTTCACTGACTTCCTTGTTACTCAGCAATTTGGAGAAGTCCCTGACAGCCAACTTTTCGAACGCAATACATCTTCTGACTGCTGGTACCAAGGGTATTGATTATGGATCCAAGTATGAGGAAACTATCGACAAAGTCAATCTTTTCTCCATCTATTTTGATGTTGCCTATCCGTCCAAAGTTTTGTTGTTTTTTCAAAAATATTAAGATATAGTCTGTTTTGTAGGCTGTAGTCTTTGATCTTCTACAGCAAGTCCTCCTCACTTTTAGCAAGCAGGGTTTTGTCATCTGCATAATGCATGTTCTTGATGAGTTTTCTTCTGATCCTGATGCCGTATAGAGTCCAGCTTCCTGAAGAATTTGCTCAGCAGACTGACTGAATAGATATGGAGAAAGACTACAACCCTGATGCACACTTTTCTTAATCTGAAACCATGCAGTAGTCCCTTGCTTTGTTTGGATTACAGCTTCTTGGTCTAGGTATCGCTTTTGTATCAGTATAATCAAGTGTTCTGTGATTCCCATTCTTCTCAATGTTACCCATAGTTCTTAAGATCCACTAGTCAAATACCTTTGCAGTCAATAAATCATTATTTACACACGCGCGCGCGCGCACACACACACATATGCATATATATATACATATGTAGATTGTAGATAGATATAGATCTGATATCCACATAGCTAACCCTTCACTGGGTTTTCAAAAGCTGTAAATTGCACGGGACTAGATAGCACCCCACCCCACCCCCCCGGGGAGGAATTGGCACTTCAAGCACGTTTTAATTCTCCCCACAATAGAGGTTGAAATTGTGCCTGCTCAAAATTACAAAGGAAGCGCTGACTCAAGGCAGGCTCTATAGGAAAGTCAACCAAGCCCAGAATCCACTTTAATTCCGTACACCCTTTCCTTTCTGTCTCACGCCCCGTCTCTCATCTGCAGTCCCTCTCCCCAGTTCCCATCAGGTCCCACTCATGGTCCTTTCCTGATTTTCGTCGTATCTCCAACCCCAGTCCTTTCCATTTCACGGCGCAGCACCTAGGACCTCAGCTGTACGCAGCATGGAGACAGGCTGACCTCGCCTCCAGCCTTCCTTCCCGTGCCCTCCCCATGGGTGCGGATGCAGGATGCTCTGTGGTCCATTCCAAGGCCCGCAGCGCTGGCGCGAGCGCGCACTGAGAAAAAAGGATGGAGAGAGGCAAGCCCAGAAGGGCTCGCAGGCGACTAAGGGGCACGGCCGGCTTATTCCCCTAGCCTCCCAGGGACCCCACGGCGCCCCTCTGCGGGCAGCGCGCAGGCGCCTGCTCTCCCGCCCCCTCCGTCCTGCGTGCCGCCCTTTCACCCTGGCAACCGCGGCGCGACGGCAGCGCGCGGGCTGCG